CTGAAATAGTTAATAAAAATGAGCCAATTTTGGACCCCACATGATTCCCCAGGATAAGTCACTCCATTGTTATCACGCTTGGATGAATACGTAAGATGCTAGCCCTGCTCGAACCCAGAGTAATTTAAGCAAATTACTTTTCTGTCTCGGTTTAGTCATTAGGAAAATGGGTATTAACACATCTACCTCACTGTTATTAGTCTTTAAATGTTCATAAAGTGTTCTAGCAATGCAAAATACTGTAATCATATAATCTACATACAGTAACGCAATCAGCAAAGCAGAGCTACTTTGAAGACCCTGAATTCTTCAGATTATTTGCATCTGGTACACTACAGTTCTCCACTATGATGTTTTTAATTTTAGCCACACTCAGGAGGGGAAAGAAGAAATAAAAGATTAAAAAGCTCTTCCAAAAAAACCCCACCACACCTAACATAAACCAAATATACTGATATCACCGTGATTCATTTAACAGTGCCCATATGCTACATTTTTCTGGGGTACATAGCTTTTTTTAAATGCAAAGGTACATCCATCTGTCGAGATACAATGAATTGTTGATTTACTCAAGATTTCAAAACCAGCTTGAGGTCATCCCCTCTTTACTAGTGGTTTGACTATCCTGCCATATGAACAAAGGTTATTTCCTGGTGGCTCACACAAGGAGTGTACATGAATTTTTCACTTTACATTTTTATTAAAGCTTCTGTGCAGTCTAAGTAAAGACAATTAAACATCTTCACTCCCAGAAATAATAAATGTAACAATAGTCAATCAAGTAAAAAAATATTCAGATATAGCATTCCTGGCAGTAATTATTTGTGCATACTTCCTCAAACTTCATCCAAAGGCTAACACTGCATCAGAAGCATGCGGCAAAACCCCTAACCATACCCTTTACAAAAAATTCAGTTTCTAGTCACCCAGAGGAGGGATTTAATTTATTATATGTGTGATAAAAGAAGTAATTTATGAGTCATCATTCTGACTGAAACAAAGCTGGAAAACGGTAAGTTTTAGGACATTTTTCTACTGGTACAGCTATTCAGCTTTCCTATGGATATGCATATTTGAAAAGATTAAGTAACAATTCACAAGCAATCACATTTAGATTTATAGACATTTTCAGCTTACTGGTAAAAAGATCATTACCTGTGATGGATCATTTGCGGTCAAGTTTCTCCCCAGTACATTTTGTTTCAGTGCAAACCCACTGTTTCTCATCTCCGCTATTAGCTCCGAGGGGTGCATTGATGGCCCTGTTCACAAAAATCACAGTTTGAATGTATCATTTATATCTCTCTACCTTTTTTGGACTCCACAGTAGGAATTCAGTTGAAGCTTTGTTAAGTAAAATCACAGCTAAATCAACTCAATAATCTTCTGCTGAGCAAATAATCAGATATGATTTTCTAAAACAGCAGTCTGGAGATTCAGAATAGAAAATAATTGCATTTTTCTTTAAGTACAAGGGGATTCTCTTATGTAACTTTGTCATGTTGAAAACAATATATTTAGGTAAGTCTAGTGATATATTTTTATTATAGTAGAAAAGCACAGGAAACCTAAAGAAAGCACATTAAATAAGACTCTTCGGTGCTTCCTCTCCCTTAAAACAATGGGAAAATGCACTTCTAGTACGTCACTACTAAGGCATTTTTCATGACACAAATTTTTGAACTTAAATGTGAAAGTAACCACTATTAGAAACTCATCATTCATACAGAATATAAACAAATATATGAAAAAATTATCTATGTCCTTATTTATTCTAGGGATCTGCCAATATGCCAGGTCTCTAGGCTGTTATTTACCCAGAGATTTCTGGTTTATCATCTTAAAAAACACACTATATATTGCATTAGAGTAGGCATTTGGGATTAGGCACACGTTATCTTTCTTTGCAAACATCTAACGAGTAAAATACAGGATGTATTTTGGATCATTCAGACTTCACTGCATAATTTATAAACCCTGCAACTCACTTTTGCTTTAATTGAATACCTGTGATCATCAAAACCTCATATACTTGTCTGATTAGGTACATTTTCTTCACCCTAAACATATATTCTTTTGATAGGTCACTTTCAGTAAATTTCCTTACTGGTTCATCCACTAACCTTACTGTCAATGAATTGGTACTACTGTATAAGGTAAATGTAAGTTCGAAGGAATGTAAAATAGAGCATGGAGCACATGATTACTATCACTTCAGTAAACTAACTGTAAATGATAAGATTAACTAGTCTTATGAAACATACTGATCCTGCTTTGTGGTTTTAAGAGCTTCTTAGCTGTGGAGATGGACAACACTCACAGATTTTTAACACAGAAAAAATATGGAAAGGGAGATTTTTACTATGGAAAATACATGGAAAGTAAAATGGCACTTTCTCAAAAAAATGTCAACTTCAACTTTTTCTTAGTTTTCCTGCCTAATACACTGCGTACAGAAACAAACAGGCCTATATGTAAAGCATGAAAATGGTTTAAGGAGCCCATGCATTACTGACTTTCTTTTCATAAGTTCCTGATTTTGCCAGGCAAAAGAATTTTCTAAAGAGACACCTTTTACTCTTTCCTTGGGTTTACATTTCTATTAAGTAGGCAATTATTCCCTACCCCCACTTCCTGTATTTTACCAAAAGTGCTTTTCCTTTTTACATGTTGCAGTGTAATTGCAAGCTCACTGATAGTTAATGAACGTATACAGGCTCCAGCATCTACATTTTTGCTTATTTCAAAATTAAAGTCTTGCTCTGCTTGCCCACATCTGTTCTGCCTGGAACAAAAACCTAACACCAGAATTTGGTACCGGCTGAACATGAGCCAGCAGTGTACCC